CTATCTCCTTTTCCCCGTTTCTAACCCTTATTTCTTTTGGAACACTTTTATAGCATAACTTTTTAAGCAAATATAATCACACATCGGCAAACAAATGGTTCCCATCGAGTACGATGGATGCGAGGGGTGCTAATACCTTCCCTTTGCATAACCGGCTACCGAACCCGTTCTTGGTTGCGAGACCATCTTATCCTTTCTTTTCTTAAGGTTTTCTCGATATTTTCCTTTTCCCTCATGGGATAAATATAGTTCGGTGGGGACTTTTCTGTCCTTTCGTTTTCGCCTCCCCGTCGTTACACGATGCATTTTTTCGAGTAGCGACACCTGCCAAGGATGCAGTTGTACAAAGATGGGAATTCGATGACCAGAAAGCGGACGTTTATTGCCCTGGTTGTTTCCTGTGCCCCGAAAGTGACCTTGAGCTCCACGTATCCCCATGATCTTGTAGTTGTCTCGTTGAACCCCTGGAGGTCGGAGCCAACGTAGGGGGTCAGGCTGGTCTCGTCGAGCTATAACGTCGAGAACAGGTGGGTGTACATGATATCCACCGAGCTCCCTCCGTCGACGAGAATGCAGCAGACGTTGAAGTTTGTCATCTGTGCCCGGATCAGTAGGGGGATGGCTGAGTTGGGGGCTCCTCCGGGGAGATCTTCAAGGTAGTACGTGATCGGGTTAGATCGACCATGGAATTTGTCGAGCGTGCTCATTTTGCCAGAGTTGTTGTTCATCAGCTCGTCAAACTTCCTTTTCACTGAACCCACAAAGAGCTTGTTTGGGGCCCCGCCTGATATGACCATTGCCCTGGGGAAGTATTCCCATGAGCTTACAGGGTGTACTGGTTCTTCGGGTAGCTGATGCTCATCGGGGAGGCCATGTTCTCTTAGCGAAAACCAGTCTTCAGGACGACTGACGCTGAGGGCCACCTGTAGCCTGAATTCGTTGTCGGGAGGGGGGACGTCCTCGACTTTTTTGGCCTCGAAAGCCTCTTGTCGGGGGGCATCTCCTCCTCTGGAATACCTCTTCAAGTGTCCATCCTTGATGAGTATTTCGATTGCATCCTTTAGGTGGATGCAATCCTCCATCATGTGCCCGTGGCCCTAATGGAAGTGAAGTGGTAGTATTTAGACTTGTCCACGTTGGCCTTAGAGGGTGCCAGTTTGGGAAAACGGACACCTCCCCGAACGAACACCGAGTTGGCGCACTCAGCCAGTATACACTCACAGGAAGCGACTAAGGCGGTGTATTCAGTGAAGCGGTTTGCTGGTCCCCTCTACTCGCAGGGCTCTTTGGGGCGATTGTCCCGTCGACGATCTCCCCCGCGCCGGAGGGCTGATGCTCCTTCCTCTCGGGACCCGCGGGGGGTGTCGCGGTTGCGAGACTCTCTGGCAGCATTAGCGGACTCGGTTTCCTTGTACTGGATGTAGTGTCGGGCTTTCTCGAGGAAGCCTTGCAGGGTGGTCGGTCGGTGGATTGCCACGGCTTCGTGGAACTGAGAGCCGCAGAGCAGACCTTGCTCTATAAGATAACGCTTCATATCGTCCAAGGTCGTCACCTGGACCGCCTCCCTCGTGAACCTCTCAATGTAGTTTCTGAGCGGTTCATCTGGGGCCTGGATGATTGCGCCCAGGGCGGCCTTCGTCTTAAATGTCATCGCGATGCCGTGTAATGCTGCGAAAAAAGATCCTTCATGACTCTCCATGACGTGACAGACTCAGGTTCCAGAATTTTGTACCAAGCCATGGCCCCTCTCTTCAGCATCGTCGGGAAGAGCCTGCACTTGATGGCTCCCCGGACGTTCATGTAGTCGAGCATGACCTCGATGTCTTCTAGGTGATCATCCGGGTCCGCGGTACCGTCGTACATGGAAAGTACAGGTGGTTTCTCCATCCCGTGGGGGATGGGGGTTGCCATAATTTCCCGCGACAATGGAGTCCTATAGTCGTCTTCATCACTTCGGACAAGGGAGCGCGAAGGTGACGGGTTGTGTCGAGGGGGTTGGTTGCGTCCCCTCGGCCTTCTGACCGGGGCTTCAGGCCTGTTCGCTCTTGGTTCCAGGAAACACGTCTCCTTCTGGGGGGGGGGGTGACCTAGAGCGTTTCTTAGAGGCCACGGGTTAGGGCCTCTCTAGCTGTGGTCGGCGCCCCTGTGGACGGGGAGAGGGGCTCCGAGAGTTCACGCACTGATTTCTCTGCGGGGGAGAGCGAGATGAGGTATCCTGTTCCAGTGTGCCGATGCGCTCATTCTGTTGGAACAACATCAGGTTTGTTTGGTTGATGGCTGCAAAGAGGGAAATCATCGTTGGGTCCGCTCCAGCTGATGTAGAAATGGGTTGGAAGACAGCTGGGCTCCTTACCCGAGGTGCGATGTAATGTGCCGCATCCTCGGACGATGGAGAGGCGGTCTGGTCGTCCTTGGTGTCGCCCTCACGGGTGTGGGAGGTCCCCGCCTGATCATCGCCGTTGGTGATTGGGACGAGGGCGGAGTTGTGGACAGTGTCGTCATGACGTGGGCTAGTCATGATCTCGAAATTTGAAATAGGAAGCTTTGGTTCTTCTGATCGGAGGAACGAAGAAGCTTAGTTTCCCACAAACGGCGCCACTGATCGCACCTGACCAGAGAGATCGCTAGGATGCCACGCGTCTGAGCTGTCGAACGGTAGACTTGATGGACAGAGGGGGTGTACTTGAAACACACTTTGATGCCAAAGTAAGTGACATGCAGAGCGATTACAAGTACAGAGAAAAGGAGTAAGAATTCATTTGACCCTCCAATGAAAGCGGATATTTATAATGAGCCCCCAGCGTAGGGTCAACGGTTACCATGCGTTGGGCTGGGTTGCTAGGCCCAACATTGGTAATTGTTAGGGCTGACGTGGCGTCGTGAAGACCAGCACGTGGTCTTCGCCCTAGTGTAACTGTTTCGTGCTATCCAGGAGGTGGAGTACTGAATCATCAGAACACAAATAATTACTTGATGACATGTCTCTGCGTAAGGGACACATAGAGAACGTGGGGGAGGCCTGAGGAGCTTCCCGGGCTGGCTGGGCTTTGCCCGACCGTGGGGCAGAAGAAGGCTGGTCGGACATCCATGAAGGTTCTGCCCAACGACTGTTAATCTGTGTCCGACGGGAAAGGATGTTCTGCCCGACAGACTTTCTACTGTTGGTTGACGAGGTCTTATCGGGCCTCCCGACTCGGTGGGCTTGGGCCTGCTCGTCTATGGCTAGGCGTCGGCCCAGTCCAGAACATTTATTATTGTATATTTTTATTTTGTTGAATTTGTATCATAACATTTTCATGTGACAAAAGAATCACAATTCTATTTTATCAGTTTTATGCTACAATTTGCTGAGTAACTTTTTGACAGTTTTATTTCTCACCTATTCAAAAAAATTTTGTTGTTGTGTGGTTATCAATTTTCTTTATACTTTTTTTCAAATTAAAATGCTGTTATAACACTTTAAGACAATTATTCAATTTAGGTTCTATAATTCCCCACAAATAGGGCTGGAAATGAGTCGAGTCGAGTCGAACTCACCTCAGCTCGGCTCGACTCGTTAAGAATTGTTCGAATTCGAGTTCGAGTTCGAGTTCGACACGAACTTTTTTTTAAGCTCAAACTCGACTCGTTATAAGTTCACGAACAGTTCGATTCGACTCGTTAGGTTCATCTCATTAGGTTCAGCTCACATGGTTCACGAACTTAAAAACTATTTTTTAAAATATATATATTTTTTAGTATATTTGACATTTTAAATAAATATATATTTTTTAAATAAAATATTAAAATAAAATAAAAGTTATCATATTGATATTTAACTTTATCTTCGAAATCTACTAATTCAAAACCTACACAACTTTCAAGAGATACATTTGAGAGTCTAACTCAAAAACTACTAAATTGAAGATTAAATTTGTCTAAGATTTGAAGTAAATATTTAAACCTAATCTTAAAGACAGTATAATTCTTTTCATATGTAATCGAGTTGACTCATGAACCTAACGAGTCGAACTATGTATAGTTCAAGTTCAGCTCATTTAGTTAACGAACTTAATTTTTCGCTCATACTCAACTCATTTGGTTCATGAACCTAGTTCAACGATTTAATTGTCGAGTCGAATTCCGAACTATCTTCGAGTTGGTTTGGTTCATTGCCAGCCCTACCCACAAATAACTCTATTAACTTATTAGTAACAAATGTAAGAATTGATATAACATGTCATACTAATTATAACCTTATATTGTTTAAATATACTCGAGAGTTACTAAAATTAATAACTAAAATTGGAGAATAAATATAACATATTACATATTAATTTAACTTTAAATTAATTTTTTTAAAAATATTTTATAATTTCTTACTTGCATCATAATATAACAGACAACGAATACGAGAGTGTCATATTACAAAATTTATTTATATAAATAATTTAAATTAAAATCAAAATTAAATAGTAAAATACAGATATATATTTTAATGCATGTACAAACAAAAATAATAAATATAAATGATTTAAATGATATAAAATAGGGTAATGTTAATTTGTGTCCTTTGGGCACATGTTAAGAACTAAATTAAGAAATATCATCTTAGAAATTGTGTACAAACTTAAATTAAAGCATAAAATTAATTTTTAAATAATTTTTTCCAATACAAATTTATTAAAAGTGGTTTCCTTGTGCCCCAAAGGCACAAATTAATCTTACCCTATAAAATATAATCTAAAAAGATTCAAATTCTCCTAAAAAGTAATTAAAAATATATTAATATAAAATAAAATATTTATTTAAAAAATTTATATTCTCATAGAGAGGCCCATTTAATAGAAGAAGCCCAAATTGTGTTACATATAACATAAGATTGCAATCAAAAGAAAAATCAAAATAAAGAAAAAGGGTTTTAGCAACACACAAAAGCTCTTATATATCTTTAATCTAGGGTTTCATTTTCTCTCTTCTCTGCTTCCAAATCCAATCCCTAAAACTCGATTTCAGAATCCATGGAATCACCCGGAAAAGACCATTTGGTTGGAGGAGGAGAATCTAACGACGTTGGTAGAACCTTTAATCACCGAGACGAACAAGAACAAGAACACGAACAACAACACCATAACTCTCAACCCCTTACCGGCGATGGTGCCAGTCCTGGGTAACTTTCTCCTCATATATATTTTTTTATATTGTTTCAATTTTTAAAAAATTTCCCCTATTATGTTTGTTTTTAAAGAAAATTGAATAATTTTAACCGTGTCTTTTAGGATTTTTTTTCTTATTCTAGTCGTTTTCCGTGAAATTCAGTTTAGAAAGATTCTATTTTTTAGGTTTTTCAGGGGAAAAAATTTATACATGCTTTGTTAGTTTAGATGCTAATATTCTTAGATTTGGTTCATAATTTGCAGAAAGATATTTATAGGCGGTTTAGCGAGAGAAACGACCATTGGTTAGTGCTTGCTTTGTTTTTATTTATACTACATAGTTGTAATTTGATATAAATTATTATTTGGGGGTTGTCAATTCCATGTCTGGGTTTGGAGATTTGTACTATGTATTGATTTCTTATCTGATTCAGTTGTGTTTTGTGTTTTGCAGCCCAATTTATCAAGCACTTTGGTAAATATGGTGAGATTACCGACTCGGTTATCATGAAGGACAGGAAAACTGGGCAGCCTCGTGGGTTTGGGTTTATTACTTATGCTGACCCATTGGTTGTCGATAAAGTCATTGAAGATCCTCATGTCATCAATGGCAAGCAAGTATGATTTTTTTTTATTATAATGATTTGCATAGGAGTTTTATGTTTCGATTTTAGTGTTTAGTTAATGGACACTTAGCTGGTTCTTATATGGTTTTGGGATTATATATAGGTTGAGATTAAGCGGACTATACCAAGGGGAGCTGTTGGCTCTAAAGATTTTAGGACAAAGAAAATATTTGTAGGTGGTATTCCTTCAAATGTGACCGAAGGTAGGCTATCTGTTTAGGCAGCAGCTAATTTGTTGGGTGCTTAATTCCGATGTATCACCTAGGTGGACTCATAGCAACGTCGTGAGAGACCAAATTCCAAAATGAGGACCCTATGTACATTGATAATTATTTAAGTTTCAGATTCTATAATTCAATGGTGTTTCCTAATCGTGAGATTACTGTTTAGGATATGTCAGGTTTTCTCTGGTATTGTTCTCAGTCAGGTCATTATTTGTAGTTTACCTGATATTTTCAATCTTTATTCACGTAAAAAGCCTTCTTATGAATCACTTAGTCGTATGTATTGTTTGCATTGTATATTGACTATTTTTTTGTTATGATCTCACCTTTCTCTCTTTAAAGCTCAGTTAATATCAGCTTCAGCTGCTATATTAGTTCCAAACTTAAGTTGTTGATTCAGAAAATAGCTACTAATCAGAAAATAGCTGCAGGGAAGGGAACCATGCTTTGGTTGATATTGTTTTAACTTAGAGATGTACTTGTGCAGATGAATTTAGAGACTTTTTCACGCGTTATGGAGAAGTCAAAGATCACCAAATAATGCGGGACCACTCTACAAATCGTTCTCGTGGCTTTGGGTTTGTCACCTTTGACACAGAGGAAGCTGTTGATGATCTTCTATCTATGGGGAACAAGATTGAGTTTGCTGGCACTCAGGTGAGGAATCTTTTATCCAAAATGAATTATTGCATTCCGCTATTGTAATTTGCACATATTATATGTAATAGGTCATAGTATACACAGACTAGTAAATTGCTGTGATTTCTGTAATTGATCGGTATTATCATATGCACATCCTTATGGTCGTGTCAACTGCTGCTTTTGATCAGTAATATCAATTGTTTTTCTTAAAGCCATGCTTCCTTTATTATATTGAATAGTATAGTATGCTAAAGCTACTGTTATAGGCTAGTGTATTTGAATAAAGTCCAATCATATTTCTTTCTTACTTGGAATTAGAAATTCACCTTCTACTTGTGTTTTTTCTTGGCATGACCCCTTTTGCAAGAGTTTGCTGCCTTGAATAGTACATTATTCTGATATCAACCTTGCAGAGGTTTTTCTTAAATTTGTATGTGTATCATTGTTTGGTTTGGGGCGATATTAATTTTCTTGGCATGACCCCTTTTTCAAGAGTTTGCTGTCTTGAATAGTACATTATTCTGATATCAACCTTGCAGAAATTTTTCTTTAAATTTAACTGTATATCATTGAGCTCGTATGCAAGAGTTTGCTGCCTTGAATAGTACATTATTCTGATATCAACCTTGCAGAGATTTTTCTTTAAATTTAACTGTATCATTGTTGGTTTTGTACCTTGTGAACATCAAACACTTTCAGATAGTTTTTTTTTCCTTCAATTTTTTTGTTTGTTTAATTTCTTTATTAGGTAAAATTGTTGTCAATATATTAACTTATCTTTTCTTTATAGGTGGAAATCAAGAAGGCTGAACCAAAGAAGACTAACCCACCGCCTCCATCGTCCAAGCGATACAATGACTCGAGGTCTTCATACGGCAGTGGTGGGTATGGGGATGCTTATGATGGATTTGGTGGCGGCTTTGGTGTTGGGGGTGGTTACAGCAGGTCAGGTAGTGTATATGGTGGTAGGGGAGGTGCATACGGTGGCTATGGAAGTGAATTTGCTGGATATGGTGGCTATGCCGGGGCAATGGGAGGGCCCTACAGAGGTGATCCTTCCTTAGGCTATGCAGGTCGTTATGGTGGGAGCTTTAGCAGAGGCTATGATCTTAGTGGGTACGGTGGACCTGGTGAGAGTTATGGGGCTTATGGTGGTGCCAGTGCGGGTGCTGCTGCTAGTGGAGGTGGTTCTTCCGGCGCTGCTGCGTATCAAAGTGGCTATGATGCCACCCTTGGCGGTGGATATGGAGGAGGAGCTAGTGGAGGCTCCTTCTATGGAAGCAGAGGAGGATATGGTGCTGGTCGATACCATCCCTATGGAAGATAGAAACTCAACATTTTTAATCTAGGAATGCATGAAATCAAGTTTGTAGTTTGTGGTTGGTTCCTCAATTAGGCTACATTTAATTTTTAAGATGTTAAGGAAACTTCCATTTATCAACATTATTTCTTGTCAGGTCTAGAAGTCTAAACAAATTTTCCTTACACCCTGTTGGAGTTTGTTCTCTGATTGATGTAAAATCTGCAAATGTGCTGATGATTGTATTTAAATTTTGTTCGTTTTTACTTTAGTTATGACTTTTCTTCTACTATATGTTTATTTTATGTGATATGTTCAAAGGGGGCTTAAATGATGTGTTCAAAGGAAACATATTATCCTAATGATAACAATCTTACATTTAATGAATTAAGTTTTTATTTTCAATTATTTAATGATGTAAGTTTTTATTTTCAATTATTTAAATAATGTAAGCTTTTATTTTCAATTAATTTTTGAGTTAAGTTTAACAAAAAATTCTTGTAAAATATAAATTAAACATGGCTTGCAATGATATTTATAAAAGATTATCTCAAGCAAACCTTCTATGAATAATGTAATTTTTCACAATTTAAGAGTTGGAAAAATATATAATTAAGAAAGTTGTGTTTCAAAGAGAGTTACTTTCTTTTATTTTCAATTGTATATATTGAAGTGAGGTTTTCAATGGTTATGTCTTGTCCTGCTTTATTGTCTATGTTTTTTCCCCCAACAAGTGTTTGTAAATTGTAATGCATTTTTTTGTGCTTTATTTCACTTTTCACTCTAGTTTGAAAGGAAATCCAAGTTTGAAAGTTCTAGCTTAGAAAACGAGAATGACACAGGTTTGCATGGACAGGAGAATTGGGAGAGGGTAAAGTAAATCAGAGAAAAATGGAAAGTTTATAAAAACTGTACAAAATAACAGAACATAGTTGCAAATTGCTTATTTATGTGCAAGAAATGTATAATTAGAGACAGTGCACATACTTGATGAGCTAAAAAATACACAAGAAATGTATAGTTGTGATTTAATTTTTTGTACCTACATGTATATCAATTAATCTTATTACTCATAAGAACTTTAGTATAACTTTGTTTTCTAAGTCTGATAAATATGGTTGCTACATTCTTTCCTTGGACAATGATTGTTTGAGCCCTAAAAATCTTCAAATTTAAACTACATAGCCTTTCCGCAGATGCTGCTACAAAAATTCTGGTTATTGTACAAAATGCAAACACACATGTATGAAAGAGAGTCATGGTAAAATTATGCTCAACAGAAGGAAAATACACAGCATATGACAAATCTGCACCTAAACTATGTCTTCATCCAAGTCAAATAAAGCTTCTTCAACTAACACAGCCAAAAACACTAGATACGTCGACTCTTTGGCAACCTGCAGCCATTATGGGGACGACGAGTTGTGTCTTCAATGTATACAATCGGATTTTTATCCCCTCGAGAATCAGTAAATCCTTCCCTCCAGCTCAATATCGCTTGCCTTTTCCTCCGAAAATGAGTAAATCCGTTCACTTTCATGACAACAGATTTCAACCCTAAACCCCTAGCTCTTCTTCCAACCACTTCTGCTGTTGCTTCAGCAGCATACCTAGAGAGCTTTTGCCCTGATTTCATGTCTTTCAAGGAACCAGCAGAGCCACTGAGCTTTACATTTCCTTTCGCATCGGTCACTGTAACGAAAGTATTGTTGCGCAACATCTTTATATGAACAAAATCAGCATCATGCTCATAATGATACTGGTTGTATAGATAACCTCCCATAATACTCTTTTCATCTTCTTCTATAGCTCCTCTCACAAAGTCCGTACGCCTGGAAATCCCACCAACCTCAGCATTATTCTCACTTCTGGGGTTAATATTCTCCCTATCACGCAGAAAATCCGGACGAGCACCTGCATTTACATTTTCACTTTGATTCCGCCCACCTAAACCCCAATTTGCACTCGAAAATCCTCTAACATATCCTGCAATTTCAAAAGTGTTAAAAAAACCCTGTGTAACATTATGTACATGACATGAAATAAATAAAAAAATGATAGAGTCTGTTTGATTATACAGTGGAATAAAGTGATTTTCAATAAATTCATTCTGTAAATTAATTTTAATTAAAAGTGATTGAATGTAAAACGATTTATATTAAAATACATTAATGTGAAAGTGAGTTGAACAGTAGATTTAAGATTAAAAGTCGCAATTGGAGACAAAAGTTCCAAATAAAGTTAGAATCCACTGAGATAAAACCAATTTTACTCATAATCACGGTTTGGCTTTCAAACTTCAACTACTATTTCTCACGCCTAGTGTTGTCGATGGCGGATGGTGTTCCATGGCGAAGTGCCAAAATCCGGCCATACCAGCCGCTTTGCGGCGCCATCATAGCAGATTATGGCAGGAAAACCCACAATAGCGGCCAATATTTACCATTGGGGCGAGCTCAAAAACCGCCATGTATATCCGCCATAGCGGCCATGGTGCCGCAATTTGATAACACTGCTCGCACCCTAAAGCCAATTCGCCATAAAATTGAGAAGCCATGTATTGTTGCTTCGAGTTGAAAGCTGATTCAAGGAACTTTACCGAAAAACAAACACAGGAAAAATCATTTTTGTCTCTAGAATCACTCCCACCTTTCAAAAAAGTGAATTTAAACATACACAAAGTTGTTTAAGGTATATCTAGTTGACTCCTATTTATCAGTACCATTCATTTCCTGTTTTCTAGATTTCTTCCATTTTTAATTTGTTGATAACATTCAGTTAAGAGCACAATCCAAATACACAAAGCAACCAATCCAATCCGTTGCTGCACCAATATTTTCGACAAAAAGAAAACAAAAATCAGAATTAAATTAATTCAACCCAAAAAACTAACCCCTCTATAATTCCAAAAGACCCCTCATAAAATCATTGATATAATCTAGAAAAAAATACTAAAACTTGATAGTTGATATAGTGATTTAAGGTTCCCAATTCAACTATTATATATTTATCACTAAAGTAACTATTACACCTTTTACTATTTACTTGATTTCATTCTTCTCTTTGAAACGGAAAAACGAGCTAATGAGCTTAGTAGCCACTTTCAAACACAAAAAGTGCAAGAATGGGAACAAAAGCACAAGCACAAGTTAATCGATTAGGGTTATAGTTGCTATAACCAAAGCAGTGTTGTCAATTGCAGATACCAAAAAAATATGTTAAAATTCCGCAATGCGATAGTGTTATAGTTGCTACTCCATTTGACAACATTTTTTACTGAACAACTTATCACAGAACAATAGTTGTTTGTCCAAATTACTATTGCATACCGGCTATTGAGTAGCATTGATCCAAAGCACTAACCTACAAGATATCATACGAGAATCAAATGACCTACTCCCACAAAACTCAACCTGCATAATTATTTCGGTTCACCTAGGCTATCCTTTAAACAAGAAATTATATTTTAACCATTCCCACAAAGCCACCGGCAGAATTATGCAGGTTAATCTTAAAAGGCTCCCACCAAATGATATAATTTTTCTCAATTGCTATGAAACACAGACACCGAAAACACACCCTGACCCGGGTAATAATTTGAAAAAATGAATAAATTTAAAGTAATCACAAGTGAGTATCGATTTTGGACACAAACACCGACACATACGCACTTCTTTTCGAGCTTTTTTTAGAGTTGTCAGTGCTATGGAGCTTAGCTGTCAAAGAATTGCACTCACAAGCTAACAAAAATCACCATTTGCAAAACAGGAACAATAAAACTCAAACCATGCATTTCATGAACACTCAATTCAAATAAACAAAATAACAGCCAATCATTCTATCTAGGATAACTAAAAAAAACGTAAAATTTAACCTAAGAAAGAAGCTAAAAGTGCAGGCATCTAAAATTCATTACAATTAATCATTGAAATGATACATAAAAAGCTATGGTTTTTAGCAAAGAAATGATAGAAATGTTACCTTGCAAGAAGTTAGTAGGAGAAGGAAGTGTGAGGTTGGATGCAGCGTGAAGAGATCGTCGAGCATGAACAATGGAAGAAGACAAATAGCGAAACATTGTTGTTGCAGATCATTAGGGTTTCAGGATTAATGCGAAAGAGAATATTTTTAAGAAAAGTTTATTACTCTCACAATCAATGACTCTATTGACTTTTTATGCGATTGAAAAAAATTGAATAAATAAAAGAAGAGAATGATAGTTTTATTAAATATCTTTATAATGCATTGAAAATAATAAAAGTAATATTAGATAGATGATAAAATTGGAAAAATATATTAAAAATTAAAATTAATTATTTATTTTGAGACATTTTTTTATTTCAAATGAATCACTTATTATTAGGGATGTCAACGGGGCAGAGAATGCGCGGAGGATGTTTCTCCGCCCCCCACCCCGCCCCTCAATATTTTCACCATCCCTGTCTCTGATCTCCGTTACGGAGGAATATTTTTCTCCATCCCCACAGAAGTCTAGAGAGAATCGGAGATTGAATCATAAAAAATATATATATATTTTTATCAAAACTATGACACTAGTATTTAGTTTTTTTCTCCTTTTTTTAAAACATATATTTTGCATTTTTTAATAAATAAAAACACATCTTGAATCAATAACAAACAAATGCAAAAGCACTTGCAGTTACAAAAATATAACCACTGATTTATTAATTGAACAAAAATCAGCTTGATAATTGAAGTATATTAAAGTTGAAAAGTAATTGCCACAAGCACAATTTGAACAAATAAGAGTAGTTGTTTTGATGATGACGAAAATAGAGTATATGAGGAATGGAGGAGACAAAGAGAATTGAGAAAAGAAGAAGAGGAAAGAGTGTATATATTGGGTGCACTTTTCTAAATGAGATACTTTAATGGTGAACCAATACATTATACAATAAAACAAAAAAAATGATTCACTTATGACTCTTCATTTTCTAATATATTAATTGTTTTTTTATAAAATAAATATGCCAAATTATATAATTATATATGTTCCGGCCTGGGCCCCCGCTTGACCGGGAATGCCCAACCCACTTATACTTGGTGAAAGGCCCAAATGAGTCTTCCTCACCTATGTCGGGCACAAAACTCCCATCGACCAAGCGCTGCCCTGTCGGGCAGAACGTCTTCCCGTCGAACAGGAAGACGTACATCACACACGTTCTCCACGTGCTCCCCTCCGCAGGGACACATTATCATCCAACTACCCACCTTCGAAAGAGATGGTCAACCCACCTTCCGGAGATCACGGGACGGTTGAACTAGGGCGAAGACCACGTGCTGGTCTTCACTACGCCACATAAGCCCTAACAGTCACCTAGGTTGGGCCTGACAATCCAGCCCAACACAAGTGACCGTTGGTCCTGCGCTGGAGTCTCTCTATAAATACCTTCTTTCACAAGAGGATCAGGTATTCAATTCTCAACCTACTTTCTGTATTTGCTCTCACTCTGTCCAATTCCTTACTTTGGCACCAGAGTGTCTTGCAGGTACACCCCTCTCATCCTTCTTACCAACGGTGAACATGCAGTAGATCAGAGACGTGTGACGGTCCATTGATTCCCTTCTGATCAGGTCAGATCAGTGACGTCGTCTGTGGGAACGCATAAACTTCCCCGTTCCTCCGAGCAGAGAACCAAAGTTTCACCTCTCAATCCTTCTGAATCATGACTAGCCCGCGCCATGATGACGCCGTTCACAACTCCTCCGTCATTCACAACTCCTCCGCCGCTCCGCCCTCCAACAAAAACTGTTACATTGGGATGTCTCAACCCCGTGAGAGCGACGCCAGGGACGACCATATTTCCTCTCCTTCCCCCGAAGGCACCCCTCACCACGAAGTTCCTCGGGCAAGAATCCGACAGTGTTCCAACCTATCCCTACTCCGACCGGCGCGGACTCGACGATGGTCGCCCTTTTTGCGGCCATCAACCAGATAAATCAGATGTTGTTCTAGCAGAATCGGCGCATTGGCGCGCTCGAGCACGAAGCCCCGTCCCGCTCCCCTCCGCGGGAAGAGCAGTACGAGAACTCAAGGAGCCCATCACCTCGTCCACGAAATCGCCAACCACAGTTGGAGAGGCCCTAACCCGTTGTCTCCGAGAAGCGGGCAATGTCGCCGGCCAGGAAAGAGAAGCGAGCCCGGGAGCCAAGGGTGATAGGGACAGAGCACCCAGTTAGGAAACCGAGGGTACAAAGTCAACCCCACCCACGACACGGGCCTTCATCCCCGCCGTCCCCGATTTTCAGCGACGAGGACGACTATCGGACCCCCTTGTCTCGGGAGATCATGGCAGCTCCCATCCCCCACGGGATGGAAAAGCCATCTGTTGCACCCTAAATTTTGACTCCTTAGATCTTCGTCATCCTTTTAGGATCATATTCATTTGATTATCTAACCTTAGCCTGTTTCAAGTTTGTCTTTGTTAAGATCCAGGAATCAGGGTTCCGTACAGCCGAGAATCGAGATTTCGAGAGTTTAATCAGTCAATGTATTGGATTGATTTCCCATGAAATAAGTCTCCACGTCATAAAATATACTCCATTGGATCAAGTATGAATCCAATTTGAGGTTGTCACCCAAGGATCAAGAACAGTTTAGTTCAGGATACCCGATTAGGGTTTTCGATTAGGAAAAGTCAACTATAGTTTGACTTTTGCTTTAAATGGTGTTACAATGGTGGTATTATGGTCCATGAAGTTCCTATGGCTTATTAAAGTCTACTCAAGAAGTTTCAAGGCCTCAAAAGACCCAGAACGTCAACAGTCGACTCGGTAGTCACCGATCGATCGTTCGGTTGACCGAAAAGTCAACTCTTCACTCATAAGGAATTTGACCTCAAGATATGAATAAAAAATGTTCCTAATGACATATTACACTTACCCATGAAGTTTCATGACCATTGGATCAAGGATTGGGGAGTAATCACAAAAATCGGGAATTAGGGTTTTGAAAGGGGCAAGACCATAACTCCCTAACCGTACATCCATTTGAGTTGGTTCAAAGCTCATTGGAAAGCTCTTGACAAGTCCTACAAAAGTCCCACAGTGGTCCATGATTAAAAAATGCATAGATTTGGAGTTATGACCAAATTCATTTCAAGAGGGAAAAATAACTTAGAAAAATTCTAAGTTATTTCACTTTTTAAGGATGTTTTTCAGCAACTTTGAGAGTTTTTTGACCTAGTTCCATTGGGAATCTGAAGCTCATGAAAACATGAAAGTTGTAGAGCTACATGAGGGCTTTCCAAAATGTACTAGATCTCCTCCATATCCCTTATGAGTTGAGAGTTATGAATTCAACAAGATGAGGTTTCAACACTTGAGTCCAACATTTTCACTTTTTCACAAACTCACCTTTTGGTCACTTGATATATTCTCATCCCTTGGATCATGTTTCTATCTGATATTTATAGGATATGAGGAGAAGAAATGCAGAAAATGAGGAGGTTTGGTGAGTCTTGCAAGTTGGAGGCAAGTTGTATTATTTTAATCAAAGAAAAGGAAGAAAGAGAAACTTTATGGAACTCTTGCAGCAAACAACCCTCCTACTACCTAGCCACACTTAAATCACTATTATGTAATTCATGCCACTTGAGAAATGCATCAGCTTGAGCCAAAGACTTGAACTTGCAGCTGCAACAAATCTCAAGCAAGATTACTTTTTCAAAACTCCCACCAAAAGTGCCAAGTTACCAATCTGCCCCAAGCCTTGCCTTGCTTATAAATAGAGGTTTCCTGTATGTTGAGAGACACACCATAGCACTCTACAACCCAAGAGAAACTCATTGCTCTCCTACTAACTTGCACTTTCTTACAAGTGAAGAAAACCACCCCAAAAAAATCTCAAAATCTGTCTTGAGCAAAACAGCTTCCAAAACCATTTTCACTCAACCAAAACCACCACAAACCATCCACACAATCCAAAAATGATGTGTGGGAGGTGTTCAAACCTTTAAACCATAAAAAAACTTCATTTTCCCAAAAGTCAACTTTCAACCAAGGAAAGTTTGACTTCATACTCAAAATCTACCAAAACACATACCAGACCTGTTTTGATCTTTGTAAACCTCCAAACACCTTAGGTTTATGGTATACCAACTGTCCATAACCTAAAATCTCATCATCATCACTTATTTCAAGTTCTGGTCCAAGATCCACTTGTTTACTTCAAGTGCAAGAAAGGCCACCATTCTCACCAAGGCACTGGATTGGATTTCATTTGGAGGCTCCAAGGTTTTCCTTCTATATTTGCTTGCTTGGAAGTATACAAGAGGTTGGTAGTTACTATCCCTTTTTCTAACTGTTATGAACATGTTTTAAATGCATTAGTTGTTACAATGTGTTTTCAATATAAGTACAGTTCTTGTTGAATCTGTCAAGATTATTGGTTTTGCTCATCAATGTGCATATTTGTTTTCATGATCATCATACAATGTGTTATGTGGTGTTTCTGTAGTTTTAACTTTGAAACTCTTAAGTGGTATTATATGTCATGTGTGAATATATGAGGGAATGTTGGAAACTGTCATGAAGGAGGGGTGTTTGTTTTGACTCTGTTCAGTTTGTGAAAGTTGATGATTTACTTCTGTTACAGCAACCCTTTTTTGGATCTTGATCTATTTGTTGGTATGTTGATTAGAAACCCTCATATAGGTGTTTATGTGATGTTTGTTTTGTTGAAAACTATTTTGGTTTTGGTTCTGCAGCAGTTATGTTCTTGCATTTTTCAGCCCATATGCACTTTTCAACCAATAAGTCATTTTTGGTTCTACCACCTTTTGAGATCATTTGTGTATTTTAGCTTGGTCTTTAATACATTTTGAACTTGCTTGTAAGTTTGTGCTACCTCTTTGAACTTGTCAAAGGTCATTGGAATGACTTATGAGGATAATGAGAACCAATACCTATTTTTGATGTCTTGATGATTGTAACTATTATGACATGTGCTTTTGTAAGTTCAGAGTATGCCTAAGAGGGGGGTGAATTAGGCTTTAGAAACTTTTTCCGGTTTTTTGAGATTCTTGAATTTTTCTTCTTTAAGTTCTTGGTGATGAA